ATATATATATATATATATATATATATATATATATATATATATATACGAATATTTATTCCTCTACAAATTTAACTGAATTGGCCATAAAATTTGCTAGAGATCCCTGATGCAATGGTAACTGATCATATGCACTCTTTGGTGTGTAAAAGTTTGGTCAAAAATCATTTTCGCTTGGGATTCGAAAAAGCATTCCACTGAATTCAGGTATTCTCATTCTGGAGGATTCGTAATCACCAACCCATGACAGCCTGCTATAGGTCGCCAATTAAGTCTTACTACAAATCCCGTGAACCTTGGTTTGATTCTATTTCTTGTATTCTGTAGGGCCTTTTCGCAAGCGAAGCACAGGTGACGGATTGCCACACGCACTACATGGATCTCGCTAGATGGTTGGGCTGCGATGTATACAAAGATATCCTTTCTTTTGATAGTGTTTCATCGGGACAAATTCGTGAGAGGAGTCTTCGCTGAACAAACTAAAACTGGTCTTCTCTGAGGGGTGTTTTTTCAAAGGGGGATGGGTGTAAACCTGCTGGTTGATCTTTACCAACAGAACAGAGACAATCATGACACTGTATACACCACTCATATGCTTAATATGCAGGGAAATGAGTCACATAAACTACTACGAATGCAACTTACCAGTTATTTCATTCACTCTAGGGATGAACAGACAGATAGAGAGGGCGATTAAAAGTGAGATATCAGAGATGTTTCTAATCTGTAATGCAGACTAAAAGGTCACAAGAAGGTACGAATGGTTTTGCTCACGTTTTGATTCAACAGAACTGGTTCGGTAGCACTGCTTTGATCACTGGCTGAAAACACATGAAGGCGTGCCATGGAAGGAAGGCCGCCACAACTGCTTGCCATTTTTTAAGACGTACTATCCAATCCTAAAATAAAAACTACTTGACTGCGAAAGAGTAAGGCATCTAAGACTATAACATACACTGTTTCTCTGATTGAACATGATTTCGCTTTCTTTCCAGTAGTGGAATGCAACTTAGTTTATTAATTAGATTTGTGAGAAAAGTGGCTGTTGCACTTCCAGCACTCTCCAAACCACCGCTACTTGTGTTGGTGGTTTGGGCTTGCGACAGCTATAAAAATAAAGTATGTAAAAACAGCATTAATGAATTCCAGTTACATTCTTACCGGATGGTCTGTATCGTTTTTCACCATTTTGTACAATGTTTTTGTACGTCCAGGACCGGTGAGTAAAATAGTGTTATTCTTCGAAGAAGAACCTGCTGGAGCTCCTGTAGCGGTAACACGTATTGGGCCAAAAACGGCCTGAGAATGAGCAAATGTGAAGGAAAGATATACAATTTATAGATACATCTGATAAATCGTGTTGCCACAGCAGAACCACAGGTATAACCAAATGTGCGTCGTTCACTTTTTCATTAAATACAGAAACCCTGATGGTGATCTGTCTTTATGTCTTTCTTTATAACAGAATGGGTAGAGGACACGACTCTGGGGATGATACTGAACACTCGGGTACCGCTCTAGCTGACTGATTCGTCTGACCCATACTGTCAAGTTCTAACCCTGTGGAGTAATCTCTCAGGTGGTTCATGACTACTGAACACCACACTTCCGAAGCGAGTATGACCTCTCTGAAAAGAAGTAATGTTTACCCGTTACAGCCCCTTTTCGAAAAGCAGCCAAACTTAAGTCAGCTATGTGGCCATTTTGTTTCCACAACAGGTTGTTCTGTTCGAAATGGAAAACTTTACATCGGCTGCACTATTTCTACCGAGCAAGATCCTGCCGTTAGCTGTCAGACAGGAAAGGCTGATGCCTTTTCTGATACTGTCATATTTGAGTATCGCTAATAAGAGAATCTGTTTTAGCGACAAGACTGACGTAAGCTGACAGTGGTTATGCATCTTCAACTTGGTGATGCGCTGGTATATGTCTCAGTTGCACATACGCAAGGCTGGCGCACACCGGGTGCATTTACCTTGAATGAAGTGGGAAATTTTTCTCAGGCTTATATGGTCTCAGTGGTTCCTAAATAATCAAATCGCAGGACGCGACTTACGGCTTTTGCGTGTAGCATTTTGCATGTTCGTGTTGAGACCTATGTTTTTGTTCGTTGTCAGACGTTTGCCTGACAATACACGAACTGTGTTCCTCTTCGCTGACTCTTCAAAAATGTAGCTTGCACCCAGTCCCATTGAGTTGCACCTAGCTGAAACAGCACAAACAATATATAACAACTAGATCTTTCCCATCATCTACATGTTGTCTATCAATCAATCACATTCTATGGGCATCTGCCCGTTGTCTTTAGTTGAGACGATTTCAGTCTGCTTGTGCAACTGTAGCATTTGCACTAAAAACAAACTTTGGACGTGTGCTTGTCCACAGACGGCCCCCATTTGGTGTCTCTGTCAATGATCTGACTCTGAAATACACTTCTCACCTCTAGCTATCGTTTGTGTATTCCACATTAGATCAGGTTCCAAGTTGTCGCTTAAACTGAGATGTATTAGCCATATTGATGTTCTGTATGCAGAACTTTGAGTGAGGTGTGGGTTGAACAATTCAAATTTTAAAAAGAATTAATGGGTTCCGAATTTCACGACACTGTCTGCACAAGGGTAAGCAAATTTATACCCCGAACCTCAAATGCCCGCTCTTGTAATGTCAGCGAGTGCACGAGTGTCGCCAACCGACACAGTGAAGTGTCAGCGTACACGCCCCAAACAGAAGTAAGCTGAACGTTTGCTCAATCGTGTGGGTTGCGGTCGCCACTTCCTACGACAGCCTCGTGTTTCTGCTTCGTGGTACGTCAAAAGCTTCCTAATCGTTTGAGGTACACCATTACTGAGGAGTTGGTAACATCATCGCAATGTCTTGCATCAAGCCTGACCTAATCGCTGTTCGATAGCATCGAGCATCGGTGCTAAACATGATAATAAATTCGGATTTGTGCAAGGTACCAAACGTGCTCTTGTTATTTCCTTAGCCCCACATGTTGTCAATCGTCTTGTTGATTTTCGAATCACGAGCCGGTTATTTTTTTATCGAGTTTACCAATCAGCCAAGGCTGTTGTTGAGCTTTGTTCAACATTTTAGACCGTCTGTTTATTTGTACCAATTTTGTGCGCGGTAAATGGCACTCAGTGTTCTTTCCCGTCAGAATTTCATATCTCTGTTTGACCGACATCTCGTGCATGATGCGCCACTTTTGACTGCGCTACCGTTTACGTCGTCTTCAAGAGCATCGAGCCCTGTTTTTACTCTCTTTAGTTGCTGGGCTCTATATGTGTGTTCCCCTGTCAAACTTTTCATACATCATTTCACCTGACCGACAAAACCATTGGTCGCGTGGTTTAATCTGGAATGTCTGGATCCTTTTCTGTGTCCTGTACATTCTTTCACATTTGTCGATCGCGGAACAACCAGAAACCGTTCTGGTAGTAGCAGTTGACTGAAATTTATAAAAATGATATCCGCACAGCGTCTGCAAAGTGATTCTAGTTTAATTATAAGGCTTCAAATATGACGTTTGGTTTCACCAATAAAAGTAACAGTTAAAAGGGGGCCAGGCTGTGATCTCACAGCTGATCTGAAGTTATCTGGATTGACTAAGCAAAGACCAAGAGTAACCGCTTAAATCCCTCAAAATCTCAGCAAATTGCTCGGGGTACACACGACCGCTTGCTCTTCATGAGGCAATATCCATTTAAATGCACATGTTTGACCTTTGTCCGCAGAACTGACCTGTGAAGACCTTCACCGCTCTCTGCTAGATGCCAGCCAAACCCTACCCTTCTTTACGATTCCGATGAGTTTGCTGCTGACGAAGGCTACACAAGATGATCAGAACGTTTAGCTGTTAAAAAAGATGTTCATGGCAAGTTAGCTTTTCATCAGTTACCAAGCCAGACTCCAACAGACACTGAAGCCCAACCTCTAACCTTCAGCTAGTGAATTTTAGTAGACCTTGGGTAATTTCCATTCACACTGTTTAGATAACCTCAGCTCCTAATTTATTTAGATGTAGATATGTAGATGTATACATATATTGGGATGTGAGTTGCCTGGATTTCACACACAAAAACGGTTCTTTTTTTGCTGTCTCAATATTTCGAAGAAGTACTCGTGTACGTTCAAGTTTTACGGAAATGGGTCTTCTTGGTGCATTACGCTATTTCTTTCAGCTCAGTGCTCCTCACATTCTATCTGTTTTTGAGCAGAATAGATCCTGATAAGTGAGTGCACTCATAGTGTTAATCAATTTCTTTGATACTTTATTTTACTCCGTCATGAGTACAGTCCTTAGTCCAAACCCAATGGAATACACAAGTCGCCATAATGTTGCATTGGCAACACACATTTCTACGTAAACATAGCCTCGTAAATTGCAGTAGGATATGATAGTACGTAGATGGTATCTTGCAAGGATCTCAGATAAGACGTTCAAGTGCTCAGTGCCCAGTATTCTAACAAATGTTTCATTTTTCTAGAAAATACAAATGGGTTTCTCTTAAAGAAGGATAAAATCCGGCAAACGTTCTTAGGTGCATTTTGTTAGATGCCCCTCACCAGTTGGCGTCGTTGAGTGCCAACAGTGCGTTAAGTTCTAAGCTGAGTTTGCCTCATTTTGTCTGTTTGCTGGGGATTGAACCAGATAGTACAATGAGATATTGATGTAAGCATAAGCACTAACTCTGTTTCCGAAAACCGGTAACAAAGATTATGTGCAAAAATAGCAGTCTTTTACATCTTGAAGGGTTCCAGTAGGAACTAAAAAGGCAAGGAATAATCGTGCCATTGCATCTCAGTGAGTAGACTAGTTGTTGAATATAGAGTAGAAAACGAGGTAGAAAACAAGGTTGTTAAATCCCATCTCATCGACTTGTGATTCACAAGTGAGCGTCATGTGTCTTCCTTGATATTAGGCTCCTAACCAGGTTGGTGGGAACTCTTAGGCGGTTCACTCAGGTATACTTATAAGTTGGGATTTTGGCTATATAATTTCGTAATGTGTAGTTAATCAACCAGCAGCTAATCGACGATTTCACACTGGGGAGTACGGAACCTGTAGTAAACATTTTATTTTAACCAGGTAATCTGTAAGGTGGTGGCAAGAAACGACAATATCAGGCGGTGCTTCTGCAGCACACCACACTCTAAACGACCATTCCAGCTGAGTTTCTAATTGGACTATTTAAATTTGAAAATAAATGTATAACCCCACAAAAAACATATTCTTTACTTTCGAGTGTATCCTTCCCAAACATGTTAACAAATTGAAAATAATACGGATCTACATATATACAGTAAGGTCATTTAATCTACTGCATGCGCTGTTGCACTCACAAACCAACAGCTAGTGTCTCGAGGTAATACTTATCGAGCAACAGGAGATGATACGCGGTTTGATATACCTGTAGTTTCGATACTAAGTTGTCAGACCATAAAATCGATAAGTTTCATGAACCCGAAGGACTAGGAATATTCTGAGGAGGAACGGATGCTCAGCAGTTTTTGTCGTGCACAATGCCAGTGAAAATTCGGCGAAGCCTCAGAGTTTACCAGCCGACTAGAAGGCTATCATTCTCAACCCACCTTTCAGACTACAAGACTAACCAGTAAACTCTGAAGCGTAATAAACTATAAGTTCCTTGCCGCTAGCTTTCATTCTTGCCTAACGAGTCAGTGGTTGTTATAGCTTAGTGTGAATGATTGAATGCCCGCCAGCGTCCAGAAAATGCTAATATATCCATTCGATGTCAAGTCGATAATCTTTTAATTTTGGTAGCGTTCCAGGGAAACATCTCAACCTCAACGCTAGTGAAGCTTTCTGGGTTGTTTTCAGGATTCACCCAATCTCTGTGGCCAAAGCTGTTACTATCCGACTGCATACCAGAATGGTTTTTCCTCCCCCACCAAAACTTCTGTAACCGGCCCCTTCCGTAACATTCACAGTCCCCTGGTAAACTACAATAAATACAATACCCCATGCTCTGTCTATGCGCTGTCATCTGAGCGGTAACCTAACTCAATTCAATTTAATTCCATTTATAAGCTATTAGCCATGTACCATAGGCACGCTGATTACCACTGCTACAGTTTCCATCACCTGAAAACGGTAGTGTGGGATATACGACCTTGGAGATAATGGCATGTTCAGTTCGTTCGGAAATTGGGCAGCTACGCATCGAAGGCGATAGCTTTGATGCATGGACACCAGTGACTGCGCAATTAGGCTCTGGTTTTTAGGCATTTTGTCACTTTTTCATTAAAACACATTCGAATGCACTGAACGTACTGATCGTATAACCTGAGGAAACGTTTATGAAACCACAAGTATTTTAACTCTTGTATAAGCTCCTGACCTTCGATGTGTAATACCTTGAGACAGTATCAACTAACCTGTGGATATATTGATGCGTACAGTCCTTCAGAGCACCTAAATGGACTGCGCTACACATTTGGAATTTAGTCCCATTCCAGCATACGTTATACCTTATAGAAAGTAACACAAGAAGGAAAATGAAATTCGGTTACATATGGAGTCTTTTTCACTTGTCACCACCCATAAACGTGGCCAAACTATCTGTACGCAATAGATGCAATCTCACAGACTATCGGGTTAGAGGCATTCTGTCGTTTCCGCCTAGAAGAGCCCTGCATTCCTTCTCTGTTGCCTTACTAAACTACAAAATCAACCTCTTACATCACACCCGATTAAGCTGTAACTGTAAACAGCTCAGAATAGCACACCACGCATGTGCCCGTGATTTGAGTAACACCTAATCTATCCTATTTCTCCTAGGTGGTTAAACGTGAGATCCATGCTCCAGTTGTACAGCACTCCTGGAAAGATTTCCATTTTAACTTTGAGGCTTAGGGCACATTCTGTAGTGATAGCAAAGCTAAATATTCATCAGATTTCGTACCGAAACAACCTGCAAACGAAAGACCCTTTTACATGGGCAATCAATCAGACTACCTTCTACACTGAGTTGTGTAAGAACAACTCTCCAGTTTTCCCCGAGCGCACAAATGAATTGGTCGGCTGGTACCTCAAATCCATCAGGAAACTCGACTAAGTGTGACCATTTAACTATGTACTCTCGTCGCCCCACTGTTAATTTGTCAGGAGGCAAGTAGGGTCACCTAGCGATCAGTGATCAAAACATCATACGCCTTATTCGGCTACGCCACTTTCTGGATTTCAAATAATAAGGAACACGCAATGGATTACTTGTTTATCGTTCATCACTTTCTGCACTATCAGCTGCAACAAATAGATTACGGGAAAATTCAGGACAATCACTCTCTCAGGTGGCAAAATAAAATATTTTGGAATGCCTGAGTTTTAAATTGCAGCTACGCGGCGATGTTTTTTTGTTTAAAATGGTCAGAGTACCTCAGAAAATGTCTCTTGATGTCGGAAACACATTCCACAGGGTTTGGACTGGTCGGCCCTTGGGAGAATTGCTGACTATTATTGATAAAAGCACATCAAGACAGAATAGCAACCGAACCAACCTCGGTAATATATTCTATATCCAAACCTTCAATATCATTTGGAGCATTCACCAATAATCCATTAGGACCGTGATATACACGAGATGGGAGGCGGGAACTGTTGAGAGAGGATCCGCCCTTGATAGATGGCGATTCTCGCCACGTATATTCGTCGTCAGCACCGGTTGCCATGGTATCCGAGTTTGTGGGGCTGCCAGCATTGCTTGTCTCCTCTGTTGTGAAGGAATCTAGGTCTTGTTCTCCACAAGGTCGACAAATTTGCTTAGTTGCCTCTGGTAGAGGCACGAGTTTGAACGAATCGAATGCGGAGAAATCCCTACTGAGCTGTGGTTCTTTCGGACTACTGGCGCTGACTGGAGTTTTGCAGGAGGGACTATGAGGCTCGACCGAATGTGCAGTTTCCTTCATACAAAATGAAACAGGAGTGATAACAACAAAGTATGTTCCCAGCTTTCAATATGTTTATGAGAAGAGAAAAGGCGAACTAGCCATCTTTTTAACCTGAAGCAGTCGGTACTGTGGTTTCCGTATCTTCATTCCGAATCAGCAATATTAAGGAATTTGGCATCCTTACAAAACCACTGGAGTGACCAAGGAAATTGTGCACAAATAACTTACTTGCATATTGCACCCTGAATGTGAGACCAGTAATATGTGACTCAATAATGTTTGTAGAGTTTCGAACTCAGCCATCTGGAAAGTACATCATTTGGTCACAAGTGGTTGATAAACTCGCACTCACGATTCCTTCAACCACACATTTTGATTCACTGTCGACCAGTTCCACGATTGATGATGGAAATTTCATGCCTACAGTTTGTAAGTGGTGACGAAATATTGACGACGTAGCACTGATTTCACCCTGAAAACGGACCCACTCTATGCTGAAAAGCCAAGGTTCATCATACGGATGACTCATCTCCCTTGTTCGGAAAAATCGGTAGCGTCAGTCCTGCAAACCTCCAGATAGAATGGAACCCGAGAACTTCCGATTCATGGCTTAAAAGTACGAGTGGGTTTCCCGCATAACTTGCAGGATAAACTCTTGACTGAAGCCTCACTTTCTTCTCACTACTTATGAAGCGCGTGTAACGTGGATGTTGTTCTGTTCACTGAGATGAGCAGGCTGGTTTCAAGCGTTTCGCGCTCATCCAGTTAACGTCATCAGTGTGCATCAGAATAGCCTTGAAGCACATCCTGGGGTTGAAAGTTGCAGTGTTCCTGTTTATGCACTTCATGTTAGCCGAGGGATGACTCCCCGCTATGATGTGCCTTCCGTATGTTTGGACCGTTGTTTGACTCTGGATGACCCTTAGACTTGATCGTTCTGATTAGCACTCGATTACGTTTATCCTGTGGATTCCGTGTTTAACTCTGCTGCACACTAGTGCATAACTAAGCTAGGACGCAAAGGCAGAATACTGTACACTGGCGACCTAGCGGAACTGCTCAACTCAGAAGGACAAACGACACACAAATGCAGGTAGCCTAACCAGAAAATCCGCACTCCATCGAGGGTTCCTTCACTTATCCAATCCGTTCATAAGTGGTCAACTGACGTCCGCTGCATGCTTAGAAGGCAAGTGGATCCCTGGGAAGAACCAGTAAAATATTACCACACCATTGGTGTTTCAGAATTTGTATGATATAGTTGCTACATCTCATGGCATACTCGCGGGTTTGACCTTTAGACCACTGACATTCCTAGGTGAGAAACAAAACACGGTTTTGCAACGGTGGACTATTACTTATGAAGCGAGAATTCTGTTTACCCCTGAAATCAGCGTCTTTCCACTAATTGGCAGTCGGTCGGAAAAGTAATTTTACCAATATCTGGAAGTAGTTCCCCTTTCATGACACTTTCTGGGATAATAAGATAGGGTCCTATGATTTAATTTTCAGTTCGATTTTTCTCGCCAACGGACAACTTCTAAAGTGAAGATCAATCGGAAGGAGTTAATGGCTTGCATACGAATGGTTCTTCACTACCAAACATCCCAGCTGGGATTTAGGCTCAGAGTTATGCGAGACCTTCGTTAAATTACCAACCATGGTGGTCCAACTTACCTTGGATGATGGTTGCACGTTTTTAATCAAGTATTCTGGAGCTCTCTCTTTGCAGTTGGTGTCTTCGACTTTAACTGCTTTGGGGGATTGAGAGATTTCTGTATCGTCCTTGGGTGAGTCAGCGAATTTCGATGAAGATGCTATCTGGTTTGAGCCCGATGGCTTCACCTTTACTTGTACGTTCATCAGAGATGGCTTAGAAAGTCTTTCGATGGCCTTCATTCGAGCTGTTAAGTCATAGTTCACCACAAAGTCATCTGCGTATTTCAGCTGGTCTCGCTGAGAATCCATCTCGACGTGAGTTTGTTCTAGACTAGCTTCCGCAAACAAGCGTGCAAGACGCTCGCTACTTTGTAGTTGTTTGAAGATCACCTCCTCATCCCTAGTTCTTCCGGTACATGGCGTGATGTCACTAAATACCAAATAGATAGAGGAGGTAGATTTACTATAAACGTCCAAACTGATTTTGCGGGAACTCAGGTTTTTCCAGTAACCTACCTGAATTTCACTTGTTTGGCTTCACATGTTGCCCTAGAAAAGCAGGAAACAGCTAGTAAATATGCATGTTCACTAAACAAGCTGAATCAAACAACGGTCGACTGCTTCCATTAGCAGTGAAAATTTTTATCCCAAAACTGTCAGTGCGACAAAGTAAAACGTATTACACCTCTGTTAGGACTGATAAAGTCTCTTGAACGCTCCACAGCTGGGATCATCAATTTTTGGGATCATCAGGGAGTCCCGATTCGATAATTCTCCCCACTTTTATCTCCCATCGGGACACGAAACTGGACGTATGTCTGGACTAAAATTCAAACCCCACTTAAGGCAGTGCAAATGAAAGTATAAACTGATTCGCAACTAAATTTTCCGTCTATTATATTCTCCACCTGAATGTCACTTCACGAAGAATGTCTCGTATCTCAGTTGGAACGATATTCAATGTTCCGCAGTATTTTCCTCCAAATGGCATTACTCACACAGTGAAAACCACTGGGCATCCCACATCATCACAGCATCACAGGTTGACTCCGTCACAAAAAGAAAAGCAGTTGATAGCTTTGAATCGCTTCAGTCAAAACATGGAGGGATCAATAATTATATAAATGAAACAGTTCCAGATCATCGCCATCATCATCATGGACAGCATGGCATCAATGTTCAACACTGATGTTTCGCTTCCGTTCAACCATGAATTTTATGGAAGCTTTACTGTGACGAATGGAATCAAGGTGGACAAGGAAAAGACTTAGTGCTACCTTACTACATTCATTCCGAGGTGCCTACACTTCCAAACACTCATTTGGGCGATCTGCATGGAAACTGACAACACAAACGCCACTGATATCAATTAGCAGCCATATCTTGCACAGTCTTCAACCAGGCGCAATAATTAGCAGCCGGTCCCCATCCTGGTAGGCGAGTAGCAACGGCAGCACCCAAACGTTTCGTAATCCCTTTCATATCACTGACCTTCTACCAGGTCAGTGGTTGTTCACGCCTCTGCTTCCGCCACTCTTAGGTGATGTTAAACGTAACAAGATAGTAAATAGTTTGACTTGGATATTTTTCTGTCATTACGAGCTGGTGATTTTAGTTTTGGTGGATTGCATCCTTCCAAACTGTCTCCGTTACAGTTTCCTACAGTGTAGCTACTTCAGATTGCTTTGTGTTCTTTCCTAATTAATCTGCTAAACTTGCTCCCGTCACAGGATAGCAGGTATCAGTTCTGTTCGCACCGACAATGCCTGGTCACTTTCAAAGTCCGAACGCTCTGTTGGCATAAAAGGGAGGCCCAGTATGTAACCTCAGAACTTACTGGTATTAATCTTCCTCGCGTGCATGGGTTGTCAATGTTAGGTAGGCGAAACTAGCCACTGCACTTTGTACTTGACGTAAAAATGTCTTCTTACCATTCCACCAACTGCTTTCTGTTATCTGTCGACTGATAAAGTCAAAACAACGTATAACGGGCACGATCGGTGGTCCAATTCAACAGCATCAGAACACACAAAATGCAAGCTGCCGGCCCACACTTTTAGGTAATTGCGTACTACCAGACATTTGTCGCAGAAGGTGGCTCGGATTAAACCAGCCTGAGTAAAGACTGTGGGGTAAGCACACCAAAACTGTGCTAACGACGTTGACGTCAACCATCGAATGGATCTAGGTCATGTGCATTGGGAAACTCAGTGGAAGCTGTTGGGTTGTGGCGATAGCACGGAAGCCATAGCTGTCCGGTTACGTAGCTCACCTCTTTGCTCTCAAAAATGAGGCACACATTGGTCACTCAAAAATAATCGTACTATGATCGTTTCTTACGTTCTGTTTTACGGAAGCCATAGCTGTCCGGTTACGTAGCTCACCTCTTTGCTCTCAAAAATGAGGCACACATTGGTCACTCAAAAATAATCGTACTATGATCGTTTCTTACTGTTCTGTTTTTTTATTGTTCCGCATTTTGCCTCCTATGATCAACAGCTTTCTGCATTTTAGTCATAGAATATTTTTCGGCTTCCAGATTGTACCTACCTATTTCGCTTTCCGTCTGGCCTTGGTGGGGATTCTTTTGGGAGTATTTTCGGAAGAACGACTGCATTCTGCTCAGCTGATCGAAAGCGGCCATTCTGGTCCGGTTCACTTGATCCTGCATTGCATCGGCTGTCAGTTTGTGTCGGAGATATGGTCAAAACTTGGTTTCCCTCGTAATCTGACTTATCCACCTCTACATTTTCCAATGCCACCTCATAGCAGTTCTCGTCATCCAAGTCTTCCACGTTCGAGTGCTGCAGGCGTTTCCGGCGAATCTTTGGGGTAAATGAGGAAACGATGCTCCTTGGGTATGTAAACTGCGATAATAGTGTCTCCTAAAGTTTAGGCTATGGATTAACCAACTTCCTCCAACAGTTCAAAGGTTATATCCCAGCCCCTGTACCGGATAACTGGATTACCGTGCACTGCAATCGTCAGAGGCAGATAATTTTCCATCGTGACATCCTATTTCCAGCTTGCTATGAAGCATTCCATTGCGGCCTTATCGGGTGTAAAGGAATTTTCATCTTCAATGATACACAATTCCCAATGTTGCTTGAAACTTTTCGGCGACCCATGACCTTGTGGCTAACCAGGTAGGCGTAGACCCGAGTTTCCGTTAAAATTATGTGCTATTTACACAACAAATCGTGCGCAATGGACAAAATAGACTTTTTTGAAGATTACTTCTGTGTTAACGAGAGACTCAGACGAGTCCGTTTCTTGTGTTATTGTTCAAACGAATGTTACACAAGGGCTGTGTCATGTTTTATTTGGTATTTATTTCGATTTTGAAGTACATTTTCGCAACGTAACACACTACTGGCAAAGTTACTGGATACTTGAGGACCACCCCACTCGATGAGCCACAAGAGAAAAGTCAACAGTAGACTGTCAAAGTTTCCAGCAGCCTTATGAGTAGCATGCTGTCAGAAAAACACACTGTGGTATCTTGAATGTCATCCCAAATCCAACGTGAGGCGCTTCTTGTGCGACACACTCAGTTGGATAGTCCCATAAACTGGGGGATCTGCTGAATACCCCTTGAACACTAGCGTGATTCTCAAAGGAGTCCACGTCGCCAAATTTCAGGCTTATTATCTTCTTGTGGCACATCCTTAATTAAACATCATCACGCACACAAAATCCCTTCAGCGAATCTCTACCCAGATCCTATTACTGGTACGGGAAGAATAGTTTCGTCGCATAAAAGACAGTTGGTTCCACTGGCAACGCTAGCAAAGTCGTCATTATGTGACGTCATGGACAGCACTGATTGGCACTAAAACCCTCTTCATAAAAAGTAGAATTGGAAAGTACCTATCTATCAGTCAGTTTTCGTTTTATCTATCTATCTTTCTGTCGATCGATCAGTCGATCAATCAGCCTACATATATGCCTCTCTAGCTATCC